CCCGAAAAGCTCCAGTTTAGAGGAGTTGTCCTGTGAGGAGATCTGCAGCTTGGAGAGCTTTATGTCCACTGTCCAGACTCATCCGGGCTGTGCAGGCCCCCTTGAGGAGACCTGTGTGGTTGTGATTGGTCTTGCACCGCGAGAAGAAACGGTGTATCAAGCAGGTGAGAGACCTGCCAACAGGGACATATGTCCAGGTGAAACTAGCAACGTGTACTGATATTGTATGCTATCAGGAGCCTGCGCAACTACAAGAGTTTGAAGCGACCTTTCTCCCTGAAGGATTGTTCAGGAGAGTATACAGCTCTTCCAGACTGCTGAATGGCGCAGTCTTAGTTTCCTGGACATTCAGCGCTTGTCTCCTGCTATCACGTCTGTTTCTGGAGTGTTTGATGCTTGTGAGTAGTTGAGCCCAGCTGTGCAACAATGGCTGAGGAGCCCATTTGCCGGCCTGCCCCCTCCTGGACATCCGACGTGGTGGCTGAATCGAGATTTGAGCAAGCTTGATGCACCAGTTTCTGCTTCGACTCCGACGGTGTCGGGTTCGTTGCGTCGGGCCAATATGACCTCATGCCAGGTGACCTTACACTTGAGGTGCTCCGCAGCCTTGCTAAGGCCTTGAAAACAAAGCAATTGGATCCGGTGCAATGGAGTCATGTCAAGGATCATCAGGGTGTTCTTGGCAATGAGGTGGCGAAACTTGTGCTACGCACAAGCATCCAAGCGCATAAGGTTGACCGGATTATGCCTTCTGTGCATTTGGTGCACGTGCCCCAATTGAGATGCTCTGGTTTGCCTATTGGGATTCTGACAAGCACCAAGATTTGCCACGAGCCCACACAGGCCAGCTTTCGTTTGCACGATTGAAACCAGCTGACCAGGCTTCTCGCCTTCCTAAACATCTCCTAGAGCCAGAGCCGCAGGCTGCGAATCTCGGTGCTGATAATGTTGCTAGCCTTCAACTGCAACAGATTGGAGGATGCCTCCCGACCACCTTTGAAAGTTGTCATACTGGTCGCACTACCACGTGGACAAGCAACGCAACCGGCGCTGAAGCGCGGTGTGACTACTTGATTATGCCTCTAGATTGGGGTTGCGGGAAAGTGTCCACTTATCCACAGACTTATGTTGATGCAGGTAATTCGGGGACTGACCACACACCGCTTGCTGGTGATTTCTCTGTTATGCTTGAGATACGCAAGCTATGGAAGAAAGGTGCTCTGACCAGTTAGCTTCCATGTTTGTTGGTGCTCCACAGACTGTTTGGGGGACTCGCGTTGATGAGCATGCTACACGACTGTCGAAGTGGGTGCACAACAAGTTGATCACGGCCTTTCCGGCTGTTGGCAACAGACCAAGAAAAGGGTACATTGGTACATCACTGATACTTTCTGGGAGCTCCGCAAACAACGATTTCAATGCCGCAGCGAGCTGCGATGCTGCAAGAATGAAATTGCAACGTGGTCATTACGGGCTGTATGGACTGCGTGGAGGCATCAGCAGCCGTTTGACAAAAAAGAGATTCTTTTGCAGGTCCTGACGGGTGTTTGCCAAGCTAGAGAGATTGGCAAGCGAATGGCGCAGCTCAGCAAACAGCTGACAAAAGCGCTTCGCAAAGATAGAGCTGATGCCATGAGTGACTTGGCTGCCAAGCACTCCAGCTGTCCCAATCTGAATTTGCGGCCGTCATGCGAAGCCTAGGACCTAGGAACCCAAAGCCGAAAAAACCATCTGCAATATTTCTGCAATTTCCCACTCCCAATGGTGTGGATGAACAAGGAGAACCCATCGCTACAACAAAATAGTTTGCATTTCGTTGCTCAAGAGATCTCAAGAGGATGGAATAGCCATCCAACCTCATGAGTTGCTGGCACGATCAGACCGGAGCACTGAGATGCCTACAACACTCCCACAGTGGTATCAGTTGCCGACTGTGCTTGAAGTGGAATCAGCATTCAGAAGGACTGCCACCAATCGTGCATTCTTTGAGGTCATTTCGAGGCTACCAATGTTGATGACACGAGCGTTTTATCCGCTTCTACTGAAGCAGGCTGCCTTCCAGCAAGAGGCGATACTTTACAAAGGAGGACGCCTTGTCCTGGCTTGTCTTTGTGACAACTACAGATCGCTCTTCATCTCATCGGTCATTGGAAAAGCGCTGCGTCGGATTTATCGACAGGAACCGCATTCGGTGTTTGTTTGACCAGACTCGATTGCCCATGCAGATTGGAGGACTACACGGCCATTCCATCACACAAGCATCCCACTGTTTGCATCCCTATCAAAGATGTGGCATCCAACAACACAAGTCAGTGGCGTTTTGTTCATCCACATACAAAATGCCTTCTACCGACTTGTACGGCGTCACATGACTGCTACCCCTGGTGACCCTCGGAGTGCACATGAGCTCTTTCAGAACCTTGATCTGCCGGAAGAGTCTTGTGATGCGTTCCTGATGCAGCTCCTGGCCAAGTCTGCCCTTGAAGAGGCCAATACATCACTGTTAAAAAAAGGGCTTTTCAGTGAGTTCTACAGGAAAACCGGTATGGACTCTGACGAGGAGAGGTAGTAGACCAGGAGACAGCTTTGCGGACCTGGCCTTTGGGTTCGCACTGACTCAGATGCCTGGAGGATGATTTGAAGAGGAAGGTCCCATACATGACGATTGAGTGGAGCGGCAGCAAGAGCCCATTTCAGACTGGACAAAGTTTGACGCTGGGTCCTTTATTGCCTGTTAGGCTGACGATATCTCTCTGGCTGCGATGCATGAGTCGGCTGACTCTGGAACGATGCTCCCAGAATTGCCTCCATGGTTCTTCAATGTTCTTCACAGGTTGGCATGTGCTGACTGGCTTGAGACCCAACATGAAAAAAGTGAAGACTGAGATCTTGCTTGACCTACGCGGGAAAAACATGCTCCATGTCAAACGAACTATTGTTGAGCACGAGTATCAGATTAAGCTGACGACTGACATGATCGAGGAGCCGCTGCAGGTCGTGCAGAAGTATAAGCATCTTGGAACGGTTCTTGCCATCAATGGGAACATCGCACCAGATCTGCGACAGAAGTTTGCTGCAGCTCATGACACTTTGACTCGTTATAAACAACAGCTATTCAGCAACCGAGGACTGCCTCTGGTGAAGAAGGTCCAACTCCTTGAAGCCCTGGTCATCAGTGCCATCACGTTAAATTGTGCCACTTGGCAGCCAGTAACCAAAAAGCAACAGGACCGACCAAGTGCGAATTGGATTCCAGAAGATCTATAAGCGAGTTACATTGTTACATTTTGGGCATGTGGCTCGTGACTGGAGCACTGCAAAGATTCTGGCCACTTTCCGGGTGGATTTGACATTATTCGGGTTGTTGAGGTACCTTGGACAATTGATTAGAATTGGACAACCTCACACTTGGGCGCTCATCCAGCAAGAGGCTAGATGGTACGAGCAGATCAAAAACGATCTTGCCTGGTTGCAGTGTTACTGTGGAGAAAGTCACATCCCTTGTGGCTCTGAAGTTAGTTGGGAGAATCTCTGTCACTGGACAACCCATGAGCCCACGAAGTTGGAAGAGCCTGATTCGCAGGGCAGCCAAGAGGGCAATTGCTTATGCTAGCAGAGCCTTCGACTGGGATGAGTGGACCTGCTGGATCTTTGACTTCTTGAGTGCGCATGGAGCCATTGATCCGCAACAATATGATGAGAGTACTCCGCTTCATTTTTGCCTGAGTTGCCGAAAAGCACATTGGCAGGCCCTGCAACCCAGAGTGTATATGCTTTTAAGAAGCATGAGCGACATCACCCTGCGAGGTATTTCGCTACAGGAAAACAATGCAAAAATTGGGCAGAGTTGTGCCATACTTTCCAGCAGAAGGACCTTGAGAAGATACGACGTTTTGCTGGTCAGGTGATCCGCACTACAACAAAGAGGCTGGAGCTTTGAAGCGAGCATGGCACACTGCATGCACGGACTCAAATCAAACACCAACTGCATTTCTGACCGCTCTTAAGAAGCCTGTTTTGCGGACTTATTGAACCCGAACGCAATTCTGCGAGCCTTTCAGGAGTGGCTGACAAGTGAGGTTTGAACGCCTTGAACTCCAGCTTAGGATTCCTCAGCTGCACAAATTCCAAAGCAGTTTTTCCTTTGGGTGGATGTTGGATCTGCGAAGCACTTTTGAGCACAGTGTTGGACAAATGCAGAGGTTCCAATATGCCATGTACAGGAGCCCAGGGTACCATCCAACTATATTTGCACAATTTTGCACATATATTCTCCGGCCGAAGACGGCAGGATGACCTGCAAATGTGCTTGGAACGACGGGGAATTCGGACCATTTAGTTGACATCGTCTTCAACGCCAGCCTTGGCGAGCGACCTTTGTCGCCCTGCGACATTCCAGACTTTCTGCAGTGCTATGGAAGCCGGAGTACTCTGTGGGTTTTTAGGGGGAGCCCCCTGTGAAACCTGAAGCAAAACGAGAGGAACAGAGCTTGAAGATGGGTCCAGAGGACCTCGTAAGGTCAGAACCGTCGCTTCACCGTGTGGTAAACATGATCTCGCAGTGAATGCGACGGAAAGAGCGGAAAACATCCTCTTGAGTTCACGACGCACCACACTGCCCCACTGCCCAAGAAGGAGTCATTGGCAGGGATGGCGATGGCAGGTTTCGCGCGGCGGTGCTCAAAGAGTACCCGGCTTTACTGTGCGAGACGCTCGCCGAGATTATTGCTGATAGTCTCCCTCAGCCGGACGTTTCAGAACCCGTTCCCAGCTGGTTTGGTTTGTTCGCTTGTTGCTGAGTTCGACGAGACCGCTGGAATGGGGGCTGATTATGGCAACCGGCTTTGATGCACGCTTAATTTGTTCATTGCAGCGGCTGCAAACAGCGAGTCTACGGCGTGTGCAAGAGGAAAGAGTTGATCTCTAGTCTGAGGACACGCAAACTGAGGACGCACAAAAAGGACAAACTGAGCGGTTGAGGCCTGATGAAGTCAAGGCTCGATGAAGTTCCACAAAGCGCAATCGAGGGAACTCTGCTCCAGTTGCCGTAGAACAAGAACTTTCGGAGATCTCTACCATGTTCTTTGAAGAGAGTTCCAGTAGTTTCTGCTTGACCTCCTGGTCTTTCTTCCTGACGCTCTTCAGAGAAACATGGTCTTGACTTTTGGTTATCTGGTCAAACTGCGAAGCATGAAGGGCGAGTTGCCAGCATCAGCTAGAGCTGCAGCTTTACTAAAACATCTTAAAACCACACCAAATTCTGAGGTCCGGTCAACAAGCGGAAAATCGCAAATGGCACTTTCCAGCGCATTGTCCCTCCGTCTAAATCCTGGAGAAGACACTGAAGCAACATCTCCATACGGCTTTGGAGTCTCCCTCATTCGTTTTCAAAAGTTGTCACACTTACAGCAACAGTAACCCCCAACAGCTTGAACAAATCGCCTGACGAGAGCCAAGGGTGTAAATCTGCTCATTCTGCAAGCGGAGCGCTTCGTCCACTTCATCGAAAAAGTCCACCTAGAAACGTGGATTCTCATAATAGGGCGGCTGCTTCGCCCAGAAAAGACATGCGAAACCACAAGAATTCGTGATGCTCTCCGAGGCACGACAGAGTGAAGCCCTTCGCTGAAAATTCCTACAGTGACACCAGTTTTGTGGGAATCAAATAGAAACAACAGTGTTGAACAAGTCTCAGTAGAGGATATGTTAAGATCATTTAACATCATCAAGATTCATCCACTACGGCAGTTCTTGCAACGACCGTGTTGCAGGCCAAACCCGGCCAAGCGTCCTGCAAAGGCGGAGGCCAGTTTGTTCGGCGTCTCTCGGAGACAGCATTCACGGAGCTTCAGCTGCAGGCTTCGGGTTGATTCTTCCGTCATGAGCAACACACCTCCCATTTTCCTGGAATCAGTAAGAAGCAAAACCCCAGCCAGGCCATTGCCTACGTGTATGGAATGAATGTTGATTAGATTTATACAATATCACCCAAGAGGATCTGGGTAGAAAAGAGAAGAGTCACAAAAACAGCAAGAACAAACCTTCAAACATGGCTCGAGCTCATTAAAGTCATTGAAATGTGCACTTCCAGACCTAAAGTGAATATTATCCCGGCAAGGCATTGGATCCTGTATCTGCAAAACATGTGAAGTGAAGTCCTGCACTCCCGAAGTTGATTCATAAGCGCTCCGATCGATTCTTCAGTGATGGTTTTGGTCCGATCAAAATGTACCAGGTAGATCCTCCAGGCAATACACACTTGATCAAATCTCAACACGCAACAAACCTAGGACAAAAGAGCAAATGCTTTGAAGCTCCTGGCCTCCTGCCCAGCATGCCGCCAAGCACATTGCGAAAGTGGTCGATGGCAGCGTCCAACAATGATCCCAGGACAACAACCTAAGACATTCGGCGCAGCCGCTGGCGCAAAATCTGCAGCAATTTTTGCTAGTCACGACACGAACGCTAAAGGGCATCGCTACTAGGAGCAAGGACGCTACTAGGGGCCTGGCCGTACTACTAGGAGCAAAGGACTTACTACTAGTAACAAGAAGCTAGTAGAAACAAGAATTAGTAATTAGAATTAGTAATTAGAAGTAAGTAGAAGAAGCAGTGCAAGCTGCTCTCACCAGCTGCTTGCCATCCGCAACTGCTGTGCAAAGCAAAGGCCTAAGCACGTCTTGGTAATTACTTCATCTAGCTGCTGCACACAATTGAAGCGAATCCTGACAGTGCAAGACTGAGGCATGAACAGTATGACTTTGCTCTTGCCTTCCCCCATGTTCAACTGTAGGACTTTCTTGTCGAAATCCGACTTCGTCATGGTGTTGGCCACATGTAGCTGAACGGGTCGGCATACCAAACGTTGCTCCCACTCAAACTGAAGCCACTCATCTGGTCTCGTCAGAGCCGTTGGCATTTCCAAGAGGTCTGCTACTTGTCTCTGCAAGATGGCACTGATTTCCCCGTTAAGTTCATGTGAGACACGACACAAAGAAGTGGCCAAACCCTGCAGTTGAACGACTTCCCTTAAGGCATTCCTGAGCTTTGCTGGGATTTGGCTCTGTTTGTCTTGAGCTGTCCAGCGTGGGAAGAGGCTGCAACGGCTAGAGCGATCATAGCCATCTCCATCTTCAAAGAAGGGGTTCAGCGGCTTCAAGTCTGGCCATTGGCCTGGAGGAGCAGCCAGCAAAGCCACCAGCCGGGCTCTCTCTGCCGTTCCTGCAGCGCATGTGATCTGCAATGCTTTGAAGGCTTCTCCGCGAGCATCCTCTGGGACGTCCGAGATTGCGAAGAATACTTTCCTCCAACTTTCCAAAACCACTCCGCGAAGACGCACGGCTTCTTGGGACACCACTTCTGCAAAGGACTTCCGATATCCTGCTAGGACCTGCTTGGCCAAAACCTCTGATTTTTGAGGGCGTTCAAATTCTGCATCCCAACTCTCTTTCAAGCTCTGATGCAAGGATCGTCCAGGGCCTTGACTGAGCTTCCTCTCAATCACTGAACTAGGCGGAATCTCCAGTGGAAAATGCGGTTTCTCAACAACTTTCTGGGCAGCTGATTTGATAGCAGCAGAAAGTCGTTTCGACAGCTCCTGGCGAAGATCCTCGAACTTTGGCATGTGGAGATCTGGGAAGCTCTGCTTTGGAATTGGCTTCACAACTGGAACAATTGGAGGCTGCAGGCCACCGCTGAAGTCCCACTCTGGGCATTGTTGCTGTACCTGTTCGTAGACCATGAAGAGACGGTCGATCAAGCGCTGCCTGGTCCACATTTGAGCATTGTTCTCCAACTTCTGAATCAACGTCTCCTGCACATCCACTCGCAGCCGCACTTCCTCCATTGCATCCGTCAGCTGATTCACTGCAATCGAAAACCCACCAGAATTGGCCAAATGAACCAAATCGAACTCAACTTGAGAGTCCACAGCTGTATTGCTTCTGTCATGAATCCATTCAGCAAGTTTGACTGAAACATTCTCCCATGCATCAGCAACTGCTTGGACTTCTTCCACCGAAGCTGGCCGATGAGGACTGGCAGTTTGGATCAATCTCCACACGTTATTCTCTTGGGTCTGCTGATGGGCCTCCCATTCATCGCCGTCCCAGCCCTCAAACCACCTGTCCAGCTGCGAAAGAACCTCCGCAACCTTGTGGTTCATCTCCGTCTGCTGGACTCTTGTAAGGCGAGACTTCACCGAGCGAGTTGCTCTCTTGTGGGCGTGAGCTTCGCAAGCATCACAGTTCATGCGCTCCTCATTCGTGACTTGTTGTATGAATTGGAGCCTCCCTACTTTTTTCGTTGCCCGATTCGAAGAGCTTTCTGTTCTGGGGATTTGGCCTTGCCGCTGTTGAACCGCATCAGACTCAACTTTCAGCTTCTGCCGCTCAATCTCACATTGTTGATCAACGCACTTGACCACATGCTCTTCTTGCGTTTTGTGCAAGCTCCACCGTCTGTGAACCTCCTCTTTGATATGCCGGCCCCTCAAATCTTTCATGGACTGTTTCCTGTCTGCCAAGCTGCGTTTGTCTGCTTTTAGCTGTTCCAAATCTTTCTGGTACTCAGCCTTGTCTTGAGCATTTGCGTGCTCATCTTGAGCCAACTTGTTTGCCTTGTTCTGAAGATTTGTCTCCTTCATCTGCAAGTCATGCAATTTCCTCTGGCAAGACCGCCAAAGGGAATCCAGTCTTCGCTGCTCGTCTTGACCACCTAGCTGATATCGCACATCCAGAATCAAGGATCGAACCAAGCCTTCTGATGATCGAAAATCTTGACCTTCCTCCTTCTTCTTCTTCAGGCTTTCATTTTCCTTGGTCAGTGACAATTGAAGACAATTGCAAGATATGACACAAGCAGCCAATGTGCTGCAGAAAGTAAAGACTTCAAAGAACCAGCGCTGGAAAGAGTAAGCCTATCATTTTATGTGTTTATTTTCTATCTGGCTGTTGCGCCCTGTCCTCTTGAGCGCGGGGCTAGGCTGTCTTGCCAACAGCACTCTTTTCATGTCTTGTCAGCCAAGGAGCAAAAAGGCGTTGGTGGGTTAAAAACGCATGTGCTCCTTTAGTTGTCCAATGCCATTGTTTCGCTCTTTCTGCAACTGTTTTTCACCAGCTGGGGGAGCTATTGAGGTTCTTACTTCAAGTATAGGAAGAGATCTGTGTGACAATTTTGGGGCCTGGTTGCAGGGTGCCAGGGTCTAGTGACTAGTGTAAAGTGCTGGTTGTGCCAGAATGTCAGTGCCAGTGCCACTCTTCCAGTTTGGGTGCCAACGGTGCCAGTGTCAGGTGTCAGCGTGCCGGGGTTTAAAGTGCAAAGGTGTGCAGTCTTACAATTTGGTTGCAAGGCGCCAGGGTGTTAGGGTGTAAGGGTCAGGCGCCAAGGTGTGGCAGGCTTGCTGCTTGGCTGCAGGGTGTCAAGGTGTGTCAGGCCTGCAGTTTGATTGAAGTGTGTGTGAGGCGCCAAAGGTGCGGGAGGGTGCTAGTATGCAGGGTGCCAGGGTGTCAGGGTGCTAGCGCGCCAAGCTGTTTCTGTTTTGCAGTCTGGTTGCAGGGTACCAGTGTCAGGGTGCCAGGGTTCTTGGAGACAGCAAAAAGAGCATTGGGTTGCTGCCATTGATTTGTTATTTTTACTGTCTGGGATCTATGCTGGCGTAATTTCTTGCTCTGGTGCTACTGGTGGTCGTGACTGCTGCTGTGGTTGCCGTAGCAGTTGCGATTGTTGTTCTTTTGCTGCTACTGCTGGTGTTGTTGGTGTTGTTGGTGATGTTGTTGTTGCTGTGGATGCATCCCGTGGACTTGGTAGATATGAGCATGTCACACGAATATGACGTACTCGAAAAAGACTCCGGTAGATCTAGCCGGCTCAAATGCGTGTGAGTATCCACCCTTGCCTCATGAAGTTCCTGCTTGACTGTGTCTTGATCATAGCGAAGAATGACCCTTTGTGCTCCGAGTTCCTTCGCCTTCTCTTCAAGTGATGAATTTCGGTTTGCGAGCTCCACTTCCACCTCTTTGAACCGCTGAAGCTCACTTTGTTCGAACTGTTGAGCTCTTGCCAACGCTTACTGTCGGCTTCGCTGGGCCTCACTCCTTCTGCACTCCGGCATTCTTCTTCAGAGCGAGGCACCAAGCACTTTAGCAAGAGCAAATACGTGGCGATGGAATCAGGCTTCTCCAATGGGGAGAGCTCAGGAAGCACCGCTCGTCGAGCCCATTTTGGCAACTTGGGAAAGGAGCTGGGGAAGTAGGACATGGCACAGCCAAGTGCAATGTGCCAATGAAACTTCGGCTGCGTGCTTTGCTGAGTATCAAAGACAGATGCGAACCCCAGTCTTGCCCGAAGAATCCGACAACTGTCTGCATCTTCATTTGTCGCCTGCCACAACCTTGCCATCTTTTGCAAGAAAGAACTTGTCCGTGTCCCGCCATCTGCATCTTCATGCGCAACTCTCCAAAGGCTGGCTAGTTCGCTCTCTGGAGGCAAAGGAAGCTGCTGTGGCCATCCCACCCAAGCAAGAGCAGCATCAGACCGGCAAATCCCGAATGCAAGTTGTGACATGAAAACCTTGCTGGTGACCCATTTGTTAAGTCCATCTTTGACTGCCTTCGATGGAGGGAACTTTTTTCGAGAGATGGTGGCGTTCTCCGCAAACTGGAAAGCTGCTGCACTAGGCCGGTGGGTAACCTCCTTGAATTCAGGGGCACTGCCAAAGGCTTCAGCTTCTTCAATAGAATTCAGAAGCCGCCATTCCTGCAACACATTCCAAACAACGGGCCATTGAAATTTATACCCGATTTGAAACCAAGGAACACAACTGAAATTGTCACAGAAATTGACGAAAACGGCGGAGACCATACCTGGTTTGAATGAAACTGGAGAACCAACCGCCTGTATCAACTTTCTGTCCTCACCCAAGCCGCGCAAAGTCGCTGCTCGAAGCCAGTATTTGGCAGCATTGTCTGCCAAACTTGTCCTTAAAGACGCAACTGTTTGGACGAGGTCACAATATTGGAAAAGACTTGAGAAAAGGGAGCAATTACGTTCTTGGATACCAGGTTGTTTGTGGGCAGCTCGCCCAATGTACATTTGATGAAGCCGTTAAAAGAATGAGCAACTGCCCTTCAGCTTGATCCACATGCAATCAACAACTGCAAAGGCACTTCTCGATGCAACTCCAAGATATTTCACTTGACTCGTCTGTATCGAAGGGCCTGTCGCTAACAAAAAACATAAACATGGTGACAGCAAGCGAATTAGAACAGTATATGTGGAAGAGTGCATTTGTTCTCGCCTCAGGGCAGCTTCTCCCTTGGCGAGTTCGGTCAAAACATACTTCAACTCCATTGATGCTGCTCCACCTTTGTTGGCAGTCTTGGAGAGCCTAGGCACAAGAACTGAGCAAAAGGTCTGTGCAAAGAGCAAATCAGTCTGTCCAACAAATCAAGCACATCCTGAGGGTGCTGCCAGTGCAACCAATGTGCTGCTTCCTCCAAAGCGGGACAACATGGAACCACACATTGTAATATATTGTAATCATGAAAACCAAATTTCAATTGTACTTGTATCGTAGAGTACATCAGAACCCAAGAATTGGCATGAATTGTCAACAAAAAATCATGCTGAAACATGAACTCTGGCCTTCTCAAATGGTTGATTTTGCCAACACTGCCGTAGCAGTTCCAACGCTTTCCACTGCGCGGGACGACCAAAAAGAAGTTCAGGCTCCATGCGGGCACAAGCCCAAAGCAGGGAAGCGAGTTGAAGTCTGCCCACCACCGTGGGAATCTCTAATTGGCCATCCTCCCAATGGATCTTGAAATGTGAAAACTTTCGACGAAATCCCTTGAATTGCAAAACGCAGCGCAGAAATCCATCATGACTGCCTTGCGTATTGATCTTGCCCTCGGGCACAACCACCAGTCCAGCAGGTGCTGGCCAATTCTCAGAGCTTTCCCGAAGCACTGGGCGTGCTTCTTCCAGCAGAAGGAAGCAACGAAAACCGCAAAGCATGCCGAGTGTTTGCTTGGCTGCAAGTTGATGGCCCGGAAAATCTTCCGATTTCAAAGTGCGACCCCTTTCTCCGTCATGCACCGTAAACTTGAGGCCCAAGCGAAGGAAATACACTTCCTTAAGCTTTCCAGCACAGGGTTCTCCGAGATATTCCACAAACTGAGATGGTTCTACAAAGGTCAAAGCCTTCACAAGATGAGCAATTCCAGGTTCTGAAGGAAGGAAGACTTGCATCTTACAGCCGCCTGACTGTTTCAATGTGCAAATCAATCTTCCTCGCCACCCAGATGAAACTTGAAGGCTGTAGTCCCGACCATCAGAGTTGGCCTTTGGCCTGAACCAAATGGTGTTTTCACTTGCGCAGAACCAGTGCGTGTAGTTCTCCACTAGAGCTTTCCGCAGCCCCACTTCGGCCATGTAATCTGCTAGCAACAGTGTGAGAACTGCATCTGCCTGCATTGTCTTTTCCTGGATAAAGAGCTCTCCGTGCGGCAGCAAGCCTAAGACATAGGTCTTATCGTTGACCGGACCTGCTTCAAAAATATCCACACCTTGTTTTGCAAGTGGGCATGCGGAGCACGTGACATCTGAGAACATCTCTTTGAACTGTGGATGGCTGCGAATCTCACGTGGCAAATACCCAACCGGCTTGCCGTTGAATAGCAGGAGGCCTCGTGAAGGATGCATTGCAACAAGCCCATCTGTTGTATGTGCAAGTCGCCACATCTCGAACGGTGAGTCTGCTGGAGCCTTCCAGCTGCAAGGAACTGTAGGCTGCTGCCCTGGCAAGAACTCAGCTAGCAACTCATCAAGGATGTTTCTGTCTGCAAGTTGGTGCTCGTGCAGAAAGCACACTTCATTGACTGCGTCCATGTCTGCTTCGTTCAAGAGGCTTCCACTGATCACCAAACAGTTCTCCAAGTCAATGCGAGCTTTCGCCAGTTGCAAAGCTTCTTTTGTGGAGAGACCATCTGCTGGCACCAGTCTGAACGAGTGTATGTAGGAAAACAATACATTGGCAAAGCGCTTCCTAACTTCTTCAGCACCAGGAGCTTGCTGGTCTTGATCACGAAACCGGCAGCGTGCTTCTTGGGCCCATGCTTCAAGCACCCGGCGGCAAGTTTGGATAGCCTCTTTTGGATGGCTTTCCTTCTCGAACTGTGCCACGTAGCTGCAACAAATCATCAAACACGTCAAAGCCTCTATGGACCCACGCTCAGTCTCAAGTGCTTGAACTTGTTCAGGCAAAGCTTTCACGCTTGGCCAATCGGCAAGTTCCAGAAGATCTTCTTTACAGGACCGACCCAAAAAACAACGTGGTACATCTGAAGGGCCAAATCTGTACAGTATCTGTTGGCAAACAGCTTTGACTCGAGAATCTTCAATGGGGAGCTCTCCTGAATGCAAAGCTGGGAGAAGCCTCCGAAGGTGCAAATGTGGGCAGCTGGCAATACAACCCAAAGACCTGAACTGTGCCTTGGTGATGCCTTGGAACATTCCTTGCGAATGCAGGGGCAGCTGGGCCAAGATTCCATTCTCTTTCGGCAAGGCCAAAATCCATTCTTCACTCCATTCTTCGTTTTGGTCAGCTGGAAACTCCATTCGGTACAACTCTGGTGGGGCATTTGGGTCTGGCCAACTTGTTTGAAACGGATTCACGAGCACTCCTTGCCAGCGCCACAGCAATTGCAAGCCTTCCAATTCAGCATCAGGATGGTAGAATCCAATATTTTTGTTTAGAGGAAGGTTGTAGCTATCTTTCTGCTGTCCGCTACGGAAGGTGGCATCAAGATCAGCAAAAAGTTCGAAGCGGCCAGCTGCTTGCAGAGATGGCACTATTGTTGTGGAGAATTCCAAAAAATGGCTGTGCCATGAGAAAGCTGGCTGGGCCAGGACTTCACAGGGGCGACCAGCATCGAAATCCCACAAGTGCCGGGCCAAACAAAAAGAAGAACCCAGCAGCGACAATTCTTCAGGAAGATGAATGGAAAAGATTATCGCTCTTGCTTCTGCCTCATGCTCTGACATCTGGGGAAGCGGCTCCACTTTTGCCGGTAGTGGGCGCTGGAGTGCGTGCCCCTCAGTCTGCCGCCGGCGCCTTGATTCGCATTGTTCCTCAGCAAGTCTTCGCTTGGAGGTTTGCGAAGTCTTTCTGCGCCTCCAAGGTTGCTGCTGGTCTGACATCTGTAAAAGCTGTGTGTCATGTTCAATTGCCTGCGCAAGACTATTGGCCCATGCATCCTTTTGATCGGACCGGTCCTGCCATTCCTTTTCTGCCTTTTGAGCTTTTTCTCGTGCTTCTTCCCAAGCTTTGATGACCTCTGGCAAATGTGATGTTGCGACTCCAGCCAGTGCTATGAAGTCTTCCACATTGTCCTTTCCTGGCACAAACAGCTGATGCTTGAGATGAGCTTTGCTTGTCAAGTAGGATTCAACTCGATGTCCCAATTGCATCCATCTCTTCTCCGGGAGCAGCAAATGCTCCAGCGCATGGGCTGCAAGTGGAGGTCGGAAATCTTGCAAGACGTGTTTGAAAGCATCTCCTTGGTGCTCGCGGAGCAATACATCCTGCAAACATGCCATGGTCCATGCCACCAATACAATACGCGAATGCCGCAAAGCTCCCCAAGGTTGGTTTGGCTTCTCGCACACTGCCACATAAGCTTCCAGAGTGCGAGAAAGTTGGATGGAAAGCGCGGTTGCCTCACTTGAATTGGTAATGAAATCCGTGGGCCAGTCTCGAAGTGAATCCCCTGACATTGCCAGTGTTAAAATCCTCTCCTCAAACAGCACAACCACACGGAAGTGATTCTCGTCATCAGCTGCTTCCAGCCATGATTTCAGTGCATCAAGCCCATGCAGCAAGTCATCAGAGTCATCACGCATCAAATCCGGACATTGTGTTGCCTGCGGTTGACACGCAACTGCCCCCTGCTCCTCCACACTTGGCGCAAAAAGCGCTGTGTTGACATAATGAAGAAACTGGGGAATGGATGCTGGAATTTCAAGACTTCCCTCAATGTTGCCAACCAGTTGGAGTGCAGAATGCAAGTCTGCAGATTCATCCCTCGACTGCTCCAGATTTGCCAAAACGCCTTCCTTTGACATTTTGGATCGAAGCAACTTCAGCTGAGCCTTTGCCATGCAAGTGAACTCGTGATTGCCCTTGTCCTCCAAGTCATCCCTGGATGAAATCTTGCAAAGCTTCCGGGCAACACCTTGCATGATCTCCAGCAAGCGATCATAGAGCCCTTCCATTCTACGACAATGAGCCGGATGGTTTTGGTCAAATTTCTGCAGGTGGGTTCGCCCTTCGCCAAAGTACACTGGAAGTACTTGATACCCCCATAGCCTGCTTGCTGCCAGCACTCTCTTCACATCATCTCTGGGAAGAAAATCAAACAAGCGCTCAAGTGCTGGTTGTGGTAATGCTGCCAAACCATTGGGATCTTGAAAGTAAACTGCAAACTGTTGTAGGGCACATAGCTGGGAAAACACAATCACGCGTTTGTACACCGCATGAGGAAGTCCAAGCGCATGCAGGAGCAAAGCATGTAACCCGAAACGTACATGACCATACGGGCCGCTTTCAATCATCTTCCGATGTGAAACAGTCGCTCCAGGACGACCTTTCAAATAAGGAAGCAGGTAGTCGTAGAAGAACCGCTCATCCTCCGCCTTGTGGGTGGCATAGTTCCATGTAGGGTCGTATTTTTTTGTAGCAAGGACACTGAGCCACTCGATCACCTCTGGCAAGAGGAACATGGATTTTTGAATCCATCGGGCTGGAAAGCATGGAAGTTGAGCCCAGCGTCTCATCTCCACGGCGTTTTTCAAGCCACCGCCTTCCAAGATTTTGCTCCCAGAGCTGCCAAACTTGCATTCTCCTGTCAAGCTGACCACAATGATGCATAACTCATCCGCATCTTCAGGGTAGACAACAACCAACGCTTCCCGCGCTAAGATTGGCAACATCAAAATGCCTCCAGAATTCACTGTCCTTGGCAACAGCATGTGTAACAGCAAATCTGATGAGACAGCAGGCGTTCAAAGTCTTTTCCTAGTTAAATTATCATTGTAGACCCGATGCCATGACAACTCAATATGAACCTAGACTCTTCACAATGTGCTTCTCCATAGCTTCAGGCCTGCCAGCTTCGTGAATGTCAATTGCAGAGCTCCAAGAAGCAAGCGCCTTCATCAACCTTAGCACCACTTGAACAGCCGTGGAAGAAGAAGAGGCAGGTACTTCACATTGTGGGCAAAACAAAGCCCGCATGAAATAATGCTCCCAAAAACGAAACCACATTGGGAGTCAGAACAGAAAACACAAGATAAGACAAAAACCCAAGCAACTGAGACTGACAAGACGAAAGAAACATATCAAACCAGATCAGAACAGAATGGCGTATGAGACGAGGCAAGCGGTGTGTGAGATGAGACACCCAAAAACATTGGCTGAAACATGACAAAACAAGATCAGAATCTGGTGCTCTGTGCATGTTTTGAATATTCATCAACTATGTTTCTATGCCCCCGCCGGGAATTGAACTCATGGAAGATGCGCTTCAAGAACTCAAGTAGCGGGCGCTTCTTTTCATGATTTGAAGGCAACAAAGGATTTGTATGGATGTGTGAATCGTCCGCTTTAGAACTTGCGTCAAGCCCTGACTGCAACAAAGCCGCGTCTCACTGACTTCGCTCAAACCAAGGATGTCCTGACAAGAACCAAGTTCCCATGAGAAACCTGAACAGTCTCACACGATTTGAGCTGCCCTGTCCTTCTGGTCATGATTCGCCATTCGAAGACATTCCATAAAGCCTCTCAAAACTTGTTGGACATTGCCGCGTGGTGTGCATCTGTCAGGTTCCCCAAAATGCAGCAGTCGCCCGGCAATGTGGTGTAGCCCAGCCATGGCACACTGTCACACTGTCTCAGATTAGAAAACTTGAAGACATTCGCCTTTGTGCCTCTCGTGGCAGATCTGGGGCGCTTGACTTGACGGTTTTTCATGTTATTTTTTCTAGTGATTTGACCTCCTGTTCCTGCTTCAAATGATGCTGCACCCCTTCCAAATGTTGAGCAAACTCCTGTGCATTGAACCATTCTGTGACATTGGTCCCCTATCGCCCGTGGCAAAAACAAACAAACCGCCACAACTTGGTCGGATTCTTGCAAAATTTGTACGGTTAATCTCCATCGATTCTATCCATCCCAATGTGACGCAATTTTGAATCACGCGGCACAGCTCTCAGATGTGAAGTTTGGAGATTCTCTCCACCTCACGGCCGACAGAAAGGATCCATAGACCCCGCTACGGCGCCCTTGGCCGCAGCGCACGCCCACCACCACGCCGTCCACGGAGTCGCTCAGGCTGCTGTTTAGATAGTCCTGCGAATAGCCGCATCACTGATCACCAGATTCCCAATGGTATTTATGTATGATATTGGTTAATATGACCTCAGCAGTTTTGTTGTTATATTATTACATTTATTATATCTCTTTATTGTTTGTTTTTCTTTCTATTCTTTACTTTGTTTTTCCTTTTATTCTTAAAAATCAAGATGGAGCCCACGAACCCGAATGCAAACACGGAAAAGCCACATATGTCCAAATGACACTCTTGTAGGAGCCTCTTGTGGGACATTCTTACGGGACACTCTTGTGCGACACTCTTGTAGGACACTCCGGTGGGTCACTGCTGTGGGACACCCTTGTGGGACACTCTTGTGGGGCGCTCTTGTCGCTCACCAGCGACACGCGGCGTTTACACCAGCATGTTTCGCGCTCCCCTGTGGCACGGCGCCACGCAAACG